AGACAAACTACCCTACTTTCTCACAAGCACTTGGCACCCAACCTGTTACTTCTTTCATCTTTTACTTTCTTTGGTTAATAGCATTTGGTCCTTAGGTGTTAAGTGGCAGGTAATATTCAAACCACTGAGTATATTTGGTGAAATGATTACATGTAGATGAGAGTAAGCAGCAGGGAAAGGAAAAGAATCTGACAAGATAAAGCTAGTGGAAAAGGTAGGAAAAGAGCATATAGGACACAAAGTAGAGAGAAAACAGATCCTAGACATGACTTAAAAAAATATCTTAACCATGGTCTGATAGGAAAGGAAAGGAAAGGGCCAAACAAAAACAGAATAAATCAAGATTTGTTTAGGGGTTGTTTTTCTTTTCGGGGGGATGGGGGGAATTAATATACACTGTCAACAACTTTTCTAGTTAATGTTCAAACAGTACAAACAGATTTCATAGACACTAGGGCTAGAAGGGACCTTGTAAGATCATCGGGTCCAGCCCCCTGCCCAAGGGGCAGGAAGTCAGCTAGAGGCAAAGGAGCCCAGAAAGGTAAGCATCCAAATGTTTCTTAAAAGTGTCCAGAGTACATGCTTGCAGACCTCTGGGGGAAGTCTGTTCCAGGCCTTGGGGGCTCAGACAATAAAGAAGTTTTTCCTTATGTCCAGCCTAAAATGGGCTTGCAGGAGTTTGTGACTGATGGACCTTGTCATCCCTTGGGGTGGTCTGGTAAACAGGCATTCCCCCAGACCCTGATGCATAGCCCTTATGAACTTAGAGGCTGCCACCAAGTCACCCCTGAGCCTGTGCTTCTGAAGGCTGAAGAGTCCCATAGCTCACAGCTTCTCTTCATAAGGCCCGTTCTCTTGGCCCCTGACCATACACGTGGCTCTCCTCTGGACTCTTTCAAGCTTCTCCATGTCCTTCTGATTATTATGGCTAGAAAATGTTATGAAGAGCACCATAAACAGAGATTAAACTAGAAAAACAATTTGTTAGGATGGTAAGCAAACAGTTCAAACTATGCTGTAGGTTCAGCATAAGCTACAGTAACGTACAGGGTACTGCATTTAAGCACAAAGCCTCAGAACCAGAAAAGAAGCTATACACACACCTAAAATATGCATGCACTTATCCAAACTTAGTGTAAACAATGCACCCTAAATACACAGTACTTTCAGTATGGTGGTATTAAAAGCCTCAAAATAGACCAGCTCCCATCATTTTCAAGTCCCTAGTAGTCAGTCAGTTTCATGGCTGCCACTATAAATCTTGAAAGTGACAAAAACTAGTCAATGTCTGGCCTAATACCACAGCACTGATGTTACTTAACCAGCACCATCAATGCTATGATATTTGCAGCCCTCAAGTTAGCCAGAGTACAATTAGGTTACGAAGATGACTATGGGGCTGAAACACATTATGCACTTAAATAGCTTTACATTTACTATGCAAATAACCCATGCTTGTTGCAATATAAGCAACAGATAATACATAGAGATGTGCTTACTCTTATGTGGTTAAACAAATTATGCTTCTATGTGGTGTGAATAAGTAGCATACACCCTATCAATCATAACCTGCGGAACACTAAGGCACAAAGTATCTAGACAAATTTCAAAAAAAAAAAAAAAAAAAAAAAAAAAAAAAAAAAAAAAACTCCAAATAATACATTAATGTTCTTGAACTAAAGTGAGATTTGAAGCTCTGATGTTCCAATGAACTTTTAAAACTAGCCTGGAAGTTGTTATTAACTAATGAAAAATATGATTAACTTTTAATATATACATTAAAAGTCCCTCACAAAATTATTCTATAGCTACAAACTTATGAATATTATTTATATTTCTTGTTCTTCCCCATCTAGTGGGAAGTTGCAGCAGTTTGGATAAACAAGTGTCCATAGTCACCATCCACCCCCTGCCTGTGTGATACAGAATACTGGGCAAGATGAACCTATGATCTAAAATGGCAATTCTTATGTACAACGATCATGATTTAGAAGATGACTGGAGTACTTTGTGTTGTTTAAAAGATTAAAGATCATTATATTTGGGATTAGACAAAAATGAGACATGCATTACTGTCTAATAAAATTAGACCCCAAAGTGATTTTGAAATGAATGTGCATCTCCTTCCTCGTATTTTATTTCATCAAACAGTGCGAATGCTGCAGGGGCAGAATGTCTGCCTCAAGAAAAGGAACAGGAAGCAGCACATTGCCCTCCTTCCTTTGATATCTGCTAGGCTGTCTCCACAGAGTTGGCAGCCCCAACCAGAAAGTGAGCAAGCTCTAGACTCAAGTCTCATTGCAGACTGTCATTAGAATTTTTTGTTAATAGTTAAAAATTCTTATAAAATGTTCTTATAAATTCAAACTGAGCTCAGGTGTAGCTTTAAATAAACATCAACGTTGGCCCCTTTAGTTGAATGATTCATACTTTCTAAAGTGATTTGGTAATAAGTACAATACTTGCTTTGATACTCTGTGATCCAAAGAACAAGCCTTAAGGTTTAGTCTACATTATTAAAAAGTATTTAAACAAATCTTTAACCCTCATCTTCCCTATTACTGGGGGATCATATAATCATCACCAAAATTGCAGCCAGAGAGGGACACAATAATTACAGCATACATCCCGACTTTATTCTGAAACAACTATATCCCAATGCTGAGCTGTCCTACTGCGCCCTACAGGATGTTCTTATAAATAAACAAAAAAATATAGACTAAAAAAAGTTACCAGTTCTTTGGACATGATTTTTCATTGGAAAATTATCAAGGATCTCTCAGATGGAGTGTTCTATTCAACATTTTCAACAACCTGAACTTCAAAAGTGTGTTCACTTACCAAACTTGTAAATGACCAAGCAGAAATGACCTGCAACTACTTTGGAGAACAAGACTTGAATTCAAGATGATTTTGACAGATTAGATAAATGATCCAAAGATCAGCCAAATGAAATTTGGTAAAGAAAAGTGCATTTAAAAAGAAACCAAATGTGTATATGCAAAATGGGCAATAACTGGCAAGGTAATAGTTGCATGCAAGAGAATATGGGCTACCAATAATGTGAAGTCGCAAAAAACATACCAGCAAGCCTCACTCTGGAATGCTTCAACCAAAGTGTTGTACATACAACCACACGGGGAAAGGAATCATCTCCACAGCACCTGTAATGCCTCAACTAGAATACTATGCCAGTTCAACCACCATTCTTTAAGATGGATGAGGGTCCAAATGATAAAACAATGAATGTTAAGAGGTCTAGAAAACAATGACCTATAGAGAAAGGTTGAAGGAACTCAATTTTTCTTTAGAAGAGAAAAGATTGAGGACACAGCAGTTGTCAAACATGGAAAGGGTTCTATTAAAGAGGAGTCATGGATTGTCCTCCAGCTTCACTGTAGGTAGGATGGGAAGTAATCAGCGTAATGTGCAGCAAAGACAATTTACTTTGGACTTTAGGAAATATTTTCTAACTATGAGGTTATGTTAGCACTGGAACAAGCTATCTATACAGTTTGTAGAATCCCCATGACTGGGAGTTTTAAGAATAGGTTAAGTAAATATGAAACCAAGGTAGTCTAAGTAAGTTTGCTACCTAAGAGTAGTGGTTTATTTCAGCTTAAAGTTTCTCTGATCATAACACAAACAGTTCAAAAAGCCAGGTAACATGCTCTAATTATTGTTTTTGTCACTAAGCAGCACATTGGCATAAAGTCTCCTTTCTGCCTTAACTGTGGTTGGAGAAAGAGTAACAGCATCCCAGCAACTCCAGTCTACTTATCCAATGTTAATTCCTCACTTTGTTAACCTTTTAATTATCAATGCACGCTATAGATAGAAAGGTTTGTATTTAATTCATAACAAAACATAAAAATGCCACTCATGTAAATTACAAAACTCATTTAAATCATCCTGGAATTACTTCCACTTTATACCTACTCCGTGAGCCAGTAAAAAAAGATGCAGCTATGGAGAAATTTTAAGTTAAAAAAAAAAAAAAAAGAGAGAGAGAGAGAGAGCAATGGCACAACTGGAAATGCTCAAAGCCATTCTGACTTCACACAAAAGCACAGCTGTTTTCCCTTCCCATTATTTGCCGGGATCAGGGGCTGGGCCTTACTTTAACTCTCCACATTCACATTGCTCAATGCTGCTGACAAGTCAGATCTGTGAACCCCAAATATTATTTCAAAGATTCCCTGTACAGTCACTGGACATTTACAGATGTGCTACCCAAAACATGGTAAATGCATCACCAAGCATCCAGCAAAGTGAAACCAAATGCCTGGGGGAGGAAAATGAGGTGGATCCAGGGAGATCCTGTTTCCCCCACACTTTGATTCCTGCTCCACTCAAACTTCAAAACCTAGTGCCTAGCAGCAGCACCACCACCTCTGGCCCATCAGTGCCAAGGGAGACACACCTGACTTCATGTCTCATTATAAACCTACCTGATCCCTTCTAAGCTCATCCTACCACTGTTAACAAACCTCTCTTCTTTTTAATCATCTCCACATTGAGGGGGGGGCTAGCCTTTGCGCCTGCTTGCAACTTCTGGGAAAGACGCTATTTCACAGCCCTGCACACTCTTTGTAACTCCTTCAGAGGTTTGTTTTCATTTCCATCTTAAAAGGGAATAATCCACCTGACCCCTCCCACCATTAGCAAAGCTTAGAGTTTATTTATACTGGAGAAAAAGGTGTCATTTTACACGTGCTGACTGCACCGCAGCACCTGAACCCTCTTTTCAGGAGCTGAGACCCGGCCATGACTGAGGAGGCTCCCGGAGTGATTACGACGTGGCGCAACGGACAGCAGCGGAAAGGAACGGGCAGGAGCAGCGGCGCCAACAGCGCTGCCCCCGGAGTGGCCGCCGGGCCACTGCTGCGACCCGGGCACCGCCGGCCCAGGCAGTTACGGCCCGTTAAGGCGCCGTGGATGGAGGGGGAACCTGGCCGCCCCGCCCCGCAGGCCCGTGCCGCCCCCCGCCACCTCCTCACCAGTCGCTAGATAACGGGGCCGGGGTAGGGAGGACAGGCCGCGCACTGAGCCTCACGGGGACTCATCCTCAATGGTGACCGCGCGGGGCCAGGCTACTCTGCCAGTCCGAGCGGGGGGCAACTGCCACGGCTCCAGCACACAGCTGGCACTAGCAGGAGATGAGCAACGGCCACATCCCGCAACAAGGCACCGCGGGATTGGCGGGAGTGCCGCACGCCCCGCGCGCCCATTGGCTGCCGGAAGCCAGGGCGCTGCCCAATGCCGCGGAGCCGGGTGGGACTGACTGGCTGGGGTAGGGGGCGGGGTTCGTGGGACTGGACGGGCACCCGGACTGGACAAGCCCTGGCGAAGCCGCGTGCGCCAGGCTGTCCCGCTGCCCTTCCCTCTGCCGCAGCACCGAGCAGGAGCTTGGGCTTGACCTAAGGAGCCCGGGGCTTTGCAGCGTGCGGGGAGGGGGCCGCCAGCACCTCTGAAAGAGCCGGAGCCACAGAGGCTTCCCCTGGCCGGGGACAGCGGGGGGGCGACTTCTCGGGGACTAACTTCAGGCTGATGCGGTGGCTCCCTGCGCTGCCTCTGCTGACTTCGGGGGGCGGTAACTCCCTCCCATCCCTCAACCAGTCAGCAAGGGCGAGAGGCAACATTGTAAGGCGAGAAGAAAAGCTGTGAAACCAGTGGCAGTAAGAGAAGAAAAGCAAACAGCTGTTGTGGCGAAGAAGGAGGGGGCCTGGGGGTTTCTTTGCTTCCCGGCAGGGGGTGTCAGGCACCCAGGGCCCTACCTGGGCCTCAGGCTGCCACATTCCAAACAGCACAGGGGGCAGATGCAGATGGCCAGAAACCTAGCTGCGCCTAGCAAGGTATGCCGCTTATTTCTGCTGAAGGGCTGCTTAAGGAGGGTGGGGAGGGTAAACCTGTCCTTTGACAGGGGCCCTGCCCTTTGGTCACCATCCTGGGACCAGAAATCCTGCCCCTGACCCTTGCCACCAGAAGTCCCTCCCCTTGCCATGGAGGGACTGAATAAGGGGGGGTGCACCAGGATGTGGGAGAACAGTTCACCAGGGCCCCCAAAGGATAACAAGGTCTAATGGGCACAAATTTTGGGAAGGCTGATTTAGACTGGACAGAAGGAAAAACTTCTTTACAGTCCAAGTGTCCAAGGTCTGCAACAGACTCCCCCTGGAGGTGGTGCAAGCAACCTACTGTGGGCTCATTCAAAAGGCATTTGCATGCTTATCTTGCTGAGATCATTTGACCTCATCAGACTTCCTGCCTATGGCAGGGGGCTGGACTCAATGATCTTGTGAGGTCACTTCCAGGCCCTAATGTCTATGAAATCTATGAAGTACTCCTTTTTGGGAGGGGTGGGGTTTGCCATCATGAAACTGGAAAAAAAAAATCATATATTTAAAAACAAATCAAATAATACCTACTATAACTTATTTTAATTTTATTTAAATATGTATACTTGTCCTGCTGTATGTATGTTGGTGTAGAGGTGATTGCATAATAGCTCAAAATACAGTCTTACTCTTGTATGTTGTGTGTCAGGGG